CATGGGAACACAGAGTGGAAGCTATACAGACAGCACCGGGACCAGAGCTGGGTCTAGCAGCAAAGGAATATTTTCTTTATTTTTAGCTGTGGGGCCAAGGCTATAGAAAGAAGAAGCTGCTCATTTTTAAAAGAGAGAATGACCAGTACTGAGACTGTCTTCCTATAGGAATATGGCAAGGGGTCAGCCATGGCTGGCACTGTCAAGAGGCAAAAAGGTCCCGAGAACCCCACTAACCCTGGGTCTGTGTTCCAGAAAACCATCACCGCTTTGACCCGACCGAGTCCTCTACCTTCCAGAACCTCAGCAAGCCCCTGTTGGTCCTGTATGCCACGGGCATCGTGCTGGGCTTTCTGGGCCACGACACTGTCACTGTAAGTGGGGCTGCGGGTGGCCAGTGCTCACCTTGACTTTCCACCCAGACACCCCGGCTCAGAGCCCCACCTGAGAGCCTTCTGCAGGTCCAGGTTCCCGCCTCCTCAGTCCTGTTCAAGTGTCCTCAACAGGGCTGAGCATTCTGAGCTTATGCCACTTACTCTGCAGTCTATTGTACCCCACGTACACCCTTTCGAAGGCTGGATCACCTCTGCCACCCTCCCCTCTCAGCTTAAGGCATACTTTCCCCAAATCGCCTCATGTATTTCTGCTCTATGTCACTTTATCAATGGCATCTATCTCACCATCATATAAAGTGACAAACTGCCTATTGTCCTACCCTGATTTATTTGTCCTCAGACAGGCTCATTGCCATCTGACATGTTCTGTATTACTTTTTTTTTTTTTTTTTTGGTACTGGGGATTAAACATAGCGGCACTTAACCACGGAGCTACATCCCCATCCCTTTTATTTTTTTTATTTTTTATTTTTTTTTAAGAGAGAGTGAGAGAGAGAGAATTTTTAATATTTATTTTTTAGTTCTCGGCGGACCCAACATCTTTGTTGGTATGTGGTGCTGAGGATCGAACCCGGGCCGCACGCATGCCAGGCGAGCGCGCTACCGCTTGAGCCACATCTCCAGCCCAGCCCTTTTTATTTATTTATTTATTTAAAGAGAGAGTGAGGGGGGGGGGAGAGAGAGAGAGAGAATTTTAATATATTTTATTTCTTAGTTTTCAGCAGACACAACATCTTTGTTTGTATGTGGTGCTGAGAATTGAACCCAGGCCGCACGCATGCCAGATGGGCGCGCTACCGCTTGAGCCACATCCCCAGCCCCATCCCCATCCCTTTTAAAAAATATATTTTATTTTGAGACAGGGTCTTGCTAAATTACCTAGGGCCTCACCAAGTTGCTGAGGCTGACTTGGAATTCAGAATCCTCCTGCCTCAGCCTCCTGAGCCCCTGGGATCAGAGAACCACCGCACTGGCTTTATATTACTTCTTTTAAAAATGTGTCATCTGTTTCTCCCACTGGAACGTGAGTTCCCCCCAGGGCAGGTACTTTTCTTGTCCATTGTTACCTCCTTAGGGACCTGGCACATTGGGGACTCTCAATGACCCTTTGTTGATTGAAAGAATGAATTGGTTTAGAATGGTTATCGAATTATTTTTGGAACTGAAGATACAGTGGAGAACAAGAGGGATGGAGGGCCTGCCCCCCCTCATGCTTACAGTCTAAGACAAGGGACACTTGAGTCAGATGACTTTGAACAGTGCTGAATGACATGAAGAGAATGAACCTGGAAAGTAGGAAGAGAGGTGTTTGGGGGTTGGGGACAGAGATCTAGAGGACATGGTGGCCTGTGCAAGCTAGAACCCAAATGATGCAGTTCCAGAGGCCGGGCCCGAGAAGATCCAGGGGGATGTTGAGGCAGAGGGAGCACCAAGTCCAGACCCTGGGAGGGGAGGACTGAGAGCTCTGAGGAAGAGAAGGACCAGGGAAGGGAGATGAGGTGCAAGGAGCAGGAACAGAGCTGGAGGGGACCCTGGAATGGAGGTTTCATGCTGAGCCTTATTGGATGGACACTTGTAGCAAGCGTGGCGTGACCTGACTTCCATTTTTAAAGACGGCTTTGGCTGCCTCTTATGGAGGATAGGTTATAAGGGGTCAGAGTGGAGGCAGAAGGCTTAGTCCCAGTCTTGCCCAAGCTAGTGACAGTGATGGCTCAGGGTAGGCTGGTGGACACATTGGCTGTTCAGGGAATAAACAAATTAGGAAGACTTTTTGGAGTTAATGCTTCCTCAGCGTAGTACCATGAAATGTTCAGTAAGCGAACCCAGGGAATGGTGGACAAACGTTCAGCCTTAGTACGATTTAGGCTGAGTGCTGCCTTGAGGAGACGGTGGTGTTTTCCATTTGTCAGATAAGAGGGTTGAGGTTCAGAAAGGTACTTGCTCAAGGTCACGGTCAGCACATGACAGAATAGGGCCCAGACTGGGTCTTGGAGATGCAAGATGCAACATGTTCTTTCTTTGCATGGTGGTATCTCCACAGCTCTTCCTTGGGGGACGAGAGCCCAGGCACAGGTGACAGGGGACCGCAGGCCCGCAGAGGGGGCCTTGGGCCATGCTCATCCTACCCCCTTCCTTGGGCTCAACCCCAACACTGGCATTGGTTTCTGTACCTGGCTCTGCCTCCTTTCTTCCCCAGCTTCCTGGCTCATCAGACCAGTTCTTCCAAACCACAGCACAAAGTGCAGAAAAAGGAATTTTTATTTCTTTTTAAAAAATTTTTTTTTTTTAAAGAGAGAGTGAGAGCGAGAGAGAGAATTTTTTTAATATTTATTTTTTAGTTCTCAGCGGACACAACATCTTTGTTTGTATGTGGTGCTGAGGATTGAACCTGGACTGCACACATGCCAGGCGAGCGTGCTACCGCTTGAGTCACATCCCCAGCCCGGAATTTTCATTTCTTAAGATCAAATAGCTCATGCCTTATAAGAAGGATAGAGACCCAGTGAGGCTGAAACCCTGACACCAGCTTGTGACCCAGAACTGGCTGTCCCCCATCCTGGGACTTTTCAGTCTCTGGCCTCAGGGACTCCCTGGTGAAGGTCACAATGTCTTTCTTGCAGGTCTCCGACCTTGTGGACCCCCATCAGACGGTGGGCCTGAGCACTCAGGAGCCTGGCGACATCTTTACCTACTCTGAATTCGATGGGATTCTGGGGCTGGCCTATCCTGCCCTTGCCTCTGAGGGCTCGGTGCCCGTGTTTGATAACATGATGAACAGGCACCTGCTGGCCCAAGACTTGTTCTCAGTTTACATGAGCAGGTAGGAGCTGTGTCCAGCTGGGGCCTGACTGATGGCCTGGTAAGAGCTATCTGCTGAAGCCAGTGTCCACACCCCGGACACAGGCATTAGCACCCAAGCAAGCCCTCTCCTGGTTTCCTGATCCATCCAACCTCGGTCCAAGGGCGCCAATAGAATCATTTATACAGTCAGATTTCACCAGGTCAAAGGGAACTTTGATTGGCTTTTAGAAAACAAAGGCTGATCTCATCTCGACCTATGAGCTTTGAACAACTTTCTTCCCAAGTGACAGGACTTCAGAAATCATTTGTTCATGTCATTGAGATTCACAGGCTTTGAGAGCCAACTCCAAAGGAGTCCCACCTTTCCCTTTCACTAGGGAGGAAACAGGTCTGGGGAGGGACAGTCATGTGGGACCTGTGCCTGGGCCAGACCTGGAACTTGGGGCACCTGCTCCCACGCCAGTGTTCCTGCTCCCTGTGATGATCCAGCTCAACTCGGCCCAGGATGGGTGGCAGCTGGAAGAGAAGGAGGTCACCTCCAGGAGAAGGGGCTGGGTGGCTGAGGCCAGGTGAACCAGGCAAGGGGTAAATTGGCGCAGTCCATTCATTCCTCCATGAACTCAATACACCTGTCCCGGGCCCTTCTATGTGCTGAGCTGGGAGATGGGCTCCCATCAGCAAACGAGAGGAGCTAGGGGAAAAGGTACACAGTTTCACACACATTGGAATCAAACAACTATGAGAAGGTCTGCTGGGAGGTTTGAGTGTAGTCAGTGGCTTTGCAACACCTGGGAAGTCTATCCTGTCGAAGCGTGTGTGGTGCGTGCATGCGTGTGTGTGTGTGTGTGTGTGTGTGTGTGTGTGTGTGTGTGGAGGATGGGGCAAACTTTGCTGAGGGGTATGGGGGGTTATCAGGAGAGAGACAGAGGGATAGCACATTTTAGGCAGCGGGGACAGCGTGCACTAGGCCTTGGGTGAGAGGGTCTTGATGGATTCTGGGAAGCGAGAGCAGCGTGGGAAGCAGGTAAGAGTGTTCCTCACCACGGGTGAGACAGTAACCCAGAAGGAACAGAGGGGATTTGGGCTTGGGTGCAGGTATAAGAGGACAGCTGGGAACACCTGAGCAGAGAAGAGGCCAGCAGTCCTGCTGCCTGTGTGGTGGGCCACTACTTCCCCTCCCTCAGCGATGCTGTGCTCTGGGCTCCAGGTGCTGCCTGAACTCTGGGCTGGGCACTCCAGCGAGAAAGGGTGCGGTGGCTGACATCAGCACAAACCCCGGCCAGCGGGGAGGAGTGAGGGGCAGGGGGTGTTCATCACTTCTGCCTCAGGGGTGGCCGGGGCACACGCCTCACCACGCCTCACTGTGCCACAGCATGCCTTGCCTTGGTTCCAGGACTGGCCAGGGGAGCATGCTCACGCTGGGGGCCATAGACACATCCTACTACGTGGGCTCTCTGGACTGGGTGCCCGTGACCCTGCAGAAGTACTGGCAGTTTGCTGTGGACAGGTGGGTGAGCAGAGCCTGCCTTGGCCCCAACCAGATGCTGACTCTGGGTTGGGGAGTGGGGTCCTGGGTGTCAGGCCACAGGGTTCTGAGAAAGACTACAGCATGGTCATGTCCATAGGATTCCGAAGTGGACGTTCTGAGGCCAGTGACTTCTGTCAGTGGTAACGCTGCACATTCACCGGCTGTCTTCATAAGACGAGCTGTGTTTATTGAGCATGTCCTACTTGCTAGGCACAGTGCTGAGCAATTGTATGACACCGTCTCATTTATTCCCCACTAAAATCTTATGAGGTGGGTGCCATTATTATCCCTATTTTAAAAATTTATTATTATTATTATTATTATCATTATTATTTGTGGTGCTGGGGATGAACCCAGGGCCTTGTGCATGCTAGGCAAGTGCTCTACCACTGAGTTACACCCCAGTCCTTGTTGTCCCCATGCCTTGAGGACATCAAGGCTAGGGTTATTTATATGCCCATTTTACAGATGAGAAGCCTGGGTACACAAAAACTGGGCAACTTGCCCGAGTCATTCTATAAATGGCAGAAAGAAAACTTGAAGCCAGATCTTTAGGTAGCTAGTACAGTCCTCATTTGACCCCTTAATGCACTAGAATTGGTTGTTTTATTGACATTTCTGACCCGTAGAAGGAGGGCAGTCCTCAATTTGACCAGTAAATTGGGAGAAAATGGTTTTGGGTGTTTCTTCTGAGCTCAGGGAGTTTTATGGGCTCCGGGAAGGGGCCCAAAGGAAGGGGCCCAGGGGCAGTTGGGGCTCTTCTACCTGCTTCTGGAGTCTGGCAGGCAGGTGGGAAGGACCCCCGGAGGGAGGGCTGGAAGAAGGACATGCCCCAAGGTCCTCCTGGTTACCCTCCTAGGATCACCATCAGTGGGGTGGTGGTGGCCTGTGATGGTGGCTGCCAGGCCATTCTGGACACGGGCACGTCCCTGCTGGCCGGGCCTACCCACGACATCCTCAAGATCCAGCAGGCCATCGGAGCCACACGCGGCCAGTATGGCCAGGTGAGGTCAGGCCCTCATCCCACCTCCTGAGGCCCCTGAAGTAGGGGCCCCTTTCACAGGAAAGAAATGATCAAGGGAAGCGGTGAGGGAGCCTGGGTCCCCATGGTGGCTGGGGATTCCTGGGTCCCCATGGTGGCTGGGGATTTCTGGGTCCCCATGGTGGCTGTGGGAGCCCCCACTTTGTGTGGCAGCTGCGGTCTGGCTCCTGGTGCTCTGGGAGGCTGTGCTTTCCTTCCTTGCGGACATTGGCTGGGTCCCCTTGGTCCCCAAGCACCAGTGTATCCTGTCTCTGTCTGCTGGCCAAGAGCTCCCAGGGTCCTCATGCACTCTGGCTGGGCCTACAGGGGAAGACACAGAGGCAAGCCCCTCCTTGTCCCAAGTTGGGGTCTGTCCCTGATGTGTTGACAGTTGGTCCCCTCAGTGTGACTCTTTGAGGACCATGTCATAGGATCAGGGTCTCATCCTGAGAGCCTCCTGTGGTCTGAGAACGCAGGGTCCCCTCTCTACCTTGTGGCTCACATGGTGCCAAGGAGGGTGTTCTGTGCTGTCAGCGTGGGTGTCTCTTACAGTTGGATGCCAACCTTCTCCCTTCCTGTGATTCTTTAGTTTATCATCAACTGCTGGAGCCTGAGCAGCATGCCCACGATTGTCTTTGAGATCCACGGAAGAAAGTATTCATTGCCACCCTTGGCGTATACCATCCAGGTAGGATTCTGGAGACGATGTCCTGGCTCCACTTAGCACCCCTCTTCCTCCTCCTCTTCCACCTCCTTGTCCTCCTCTTCCTCCTCTCTCCCCCTTTTGGGCTCCGGCTCTGGTGACAGGAAGTAGCGTGGACCAGATGGAGAATCCAGTCTTGCTGGATCTTGAACGGTCCCTTTTGATTGGGGCCATGCATCCTTGAGCCTCATTTGTGGCCACTACAGCCTCAAATGGGAGAGATGGGGGACAGGAAGGACAGAGGACTGAGGCTTGAGGGGAGGGTAGATGGAACCAGCACCCATGGGAACCTCCGTCCCCTGCTTAAGCCTCTAAGCCCTGGGGACCTAGAGCTCTGACCAGAGTTTCTTTAGGGAGCCTGGACTTTTGGAGCCTTTTTGAGGACTGCTGGCCTCAGCTTTGATCTGATCAAAGTGCCCCAAACTCATGCCACAGGCCCCCAGGCCAGCTCTGACTGATCACCAGGGCAGTGAGTGCTGAGAGCCAGAAGGCAGGAGGCTGGAGGGGACAGGAGGGGATATGGAGCCCAGTGCAGGGGACTGGGGCTCCGTGCTCCAGGATTTCACCAGATCATCTTGGACGAAGTCACTTCAGTTTTTAAATCTTGACTTTTTTCATCTGTTGAGTGAGGTGAATCTGACAGTTGTTTGTCTGGGAAGATGATTCCAAGGATGAAATGGAATAATACAGAGTAACTGTGGGGTGAGGCAGATAAACACCTCCCATGAGGCTCTGCGAATGGTGCTGGAACCACTTCATCTCCGTCTTGTCTCTCCCAGGGCCAGGACTTCTGCTACAGTGGCTTCCAGGAGAACAGTAACTCCCCGCTGTGGGTCCTGGGGACCATCTTCGTCCGGGAGTATTACAGTGTCTTTGACAGAACCCATAACCGCGTGGGGCTGGCCAAGGCTGTCTATTGAACACTGACCACAGACCACATTTTCCCCAAACACACACATGCACAAATACAAGTATATGCACACACATGCGCATGCGCGCACATAGATCAGGATTTCTCACAGACGGTTTCCAATAAACACTTTTTTGCAAAGTCTGCTTTCCCTTGTTCTCACTGGGGCTGACCCTGCACTGATATAGGGGTGGGTTTGAGACTTCCATGGGCAGGACTGGGGCCATGTGTGTTGGGAAGGCCGAGGACACAGTTGGTGGGTGGAGACTTTCAGGAAGAGATTGGCTATTTCAGGCTCCGTTCAGAGAAGACCAGTTATGTTATCTTGTCCTCCTGCTCTAGATCTTTCTGGAAAAAGGGTACCAGAGGGAGAGAGGCAGGAGCATGGCGGGCGGGGGGCTGTGTAGAGAGCACTTGGCCCCTGCAGAGAAAGACTGCAGGTCCATTAGAAGGGTCTCACTGCTGTTGAAAAAGATGCAGAGAGTGTGTGGTAGAGGGCCAAGGGACTGGGTGGATGAACTGCAGTTCAGCATCCTGTCCTCAGTCTTAGGGGCTCAAAAGCCACCGCCAGTGCTCAGAGAGCAGCTCCATTCCTGAGGGCAGACTCGTGTGAACCTGGCTCTCTGTGGTCAAGGCCGGATGTCAGGGTTCAGGTTTCTAGGGAGGACTGTGGGTGTGAAGCAGACAGAACACCCAAGCTCACAGAGCTTGCATACTCTTCCTTGGAGGGCCAGCAGGGGGTCCAGAATCACAGGGCCAGATCAAGGGATGCAGGTGAGTACTGTTATGCTCGGTTGAGGCCCTGGGTTGCCTTGGTGGGCAGCAAGGCAAGCTTCCGGGGGAGACCCCAGGCTTGGAGTCAGGTTGGCTAACTCTGAACAGTCCTCTGCCAGGGGCCACCCATGTTTGCTTCCGTGGCCTCCCTCCTCTTTCTTTGCACCTTCTTCTTTTGACAATCTTTCCCTTCTCATGGGACAACAAATTGATGAGGCTTCTGTTTTCCAAACCAGAGCCAGACCGTCCGCCCTCTCTCCCTACCCTAAATAGAGTGATTGGACTTGAAATTGCTCGTGCAGAGTGCAGAGTCGGTTAACTCTCAGGAGGCCTTGGAAAGGGCGGGGCTATTTGCTATCTATTTCCCATCCCCACCCTGGCTGGCTCCGCAAACCCGGAGAGGAGGGCAGCCAGTCCCAAGGGGCAGGAGCTGCAGGTTGGTGGTGACACTGCTTCACAGAAGAGACTCTGAGGTGGGATCTGAAGAGGAGGAGTCTGGTTGCCTGATTCTTTGTCCCAGTGGGAGGTGAGATGGGATGCTCTTGACAAGCCCACCCGGGGGCACATCCTGGGGTCTTTCTCAGCTGTACCCAACACAAGATGAGGAACCCAGGGCAGTGAGGTTCCATCCACAGGGCCTGCATGGGTCAGTGGAGCATCCCTGGCCTCTAGCAGGGAAGGGGCAGGGCTGGGCTTGTGTCTTTGTGGGGGTGACATGGAGGAGGAGGGTGAGCTGAGGAGCCTGGGGTGGCTTGGGGTGGGGGCCTTAGGAGAACGTCCAGGAGTCCAAGGATGGGGCATGTGCCCACTGGGACAGGCCTTATTGTCTGAGCCTCAGGGACCAGGGAAGCAGGCGTGGTGCTCTGCAGAGGAGGCAGCTCTGGCTTTGGGTGACTTCTCTAAGTCTCGCTTTCCACATCTAGGACCAATACTAACTATTTGCCAAGAGTGAGACAGAATTAGGCCACTTGCATTATTTTTAGTCTTCCTACAGATGAAAAAAATAACCCCCCCACACACAAAATGTGAAATGAGCTTATAACCATTGTGCTGTATATTTCAATGGCTTGCGTTTCACGATTGAATGTTAAACTCCCAAACCTCAGTTGGAGATAATGAAGAAAGTCTAAACATGGGAACGTTCATAAATATGAGGCTTGGACTAGATGGCCCCCATCCACCAGGACCACGTGGCTTTGGTGTCAGTCCCTGTCATGAGCAGTCAGTGAGGGTACAGAGAGTCAGGTGTGTGTGTCATCTGCCTCCTGGGGCTCCCCGGGTGTGGGCAGTGCAGCACCCTTTTGGCTTCAATTCTGCACACAGCTGCCTGGAATGTTCTTCACAGGTCAACCGCCATCTGGTTTTTAATCAGCCTTCAGACCTCAAATCCGTCCTCATTTCTTCAGGATGCTCCTACCAGGCGTGTGCCTAGTCTTGTTTATTTCCTTGTCCATCTCCCTCGCAGACTGTGGCCTCCCGAGGACAAAGGGCCTAACTCAGGGAACGCCCCAGTGAGCCACTCAGTCAGCGAGAACTTCAAGAGTCACACTGCTCTCTTGGTCTGTGACTTCTGACATTGGCTACCTGCCTGGCTCACCACTTCCCGTTCCTTTGCTGTCCCCCTGGACTCTCCTTGGGCTTGTTGGGAGGACTCTGAAGAGAGAGGAGGGGGACTAGCTGCCTTCAGGTCGTTGGGATCTGCAAAGCCTCCCCCACCCTGAGCGCTCTGCAGCCAGGCCCAGATCTGGGTCCTCTGCCAGCTATGAAGGACGAGATCTGAGAAGGGGCCAGGGGGCCATCAGCACATCTCTATCTGGGAAGGAGCTGGGAGGGTGGAGGAGGCCCTTTGAAGTGCTGGGCTGGCTCACTAGGCCCAGGCAACGACAGGGCAGCAGAGAGAACCTCGGTAGCCATTAGCTGCCACTGTCATTCTGCCTAAATGGCACCCAAACACCTGCAGCGTGCCTTGGAATCTTCGCCTGCTGTCTCCTCTGCCTTCTTATCCTTCAGGCAGCTTAAATGTCACTTCCTCTGAGATGACATCCCCACTCCTCTGCCTCCTGGTTGCTCAGCAGTGCTCTTTACAACAGCTTGGTGAAGAGTTTGGTGTTGGTGATTGGATGACACATCGATCTCCCTTTGAGGTGCAGATGACAGCCCGGGTGTCTGTCTTTCCTTTCTGAATCCTGGGCATCCAGATGAGTACTTAGCACCCCATGGAGGCTCAGCCAGTGCCCCAGAGTGGCTTATGCCTTACGATGCGAGAAGGTACATCTCTGACCTCACGGCATGAATAGCGAATGCAGAGATGCACAAGTTCACAAAGACGCAAGTATACGCAGAGCACGCAGGACCCCACACACCAACATCCTGCCCCCTGAGTGGGCTAGTAAAGGCCTCAGGCCCAGAGCCCTATTCCCAGCCCCTCTCCCTTCCCTGTCACTCAACTCCCTGCCAGTTCTCATGTTAATGAGAGGAAGCGGCTGGTCTGGGAGAAGCTCCTAAAGGAAGTCTTTGAAATGGAAATGTTATGACAAAATGATGGATTGTTTTCCCGGAGCTGTGCAGTTTGTTTCTTCTTAGTGGCAGAAGGGAGGATATAATTGAGACAGGAGGGGCACAGGCTGGCCTTTGTCAGGATGGTAACAAATGCCACACGAAACCCATACCCAGCGCAGGGAGCAGGCCAGAGGAATGGAGGTGAGGGAAGGCCCAGGTGGGCAGACAGGCAGAACCCAGCTGTTGTCTAGGATCCCTGCTCAGAGCTGGGCCTGAGGCGGGGAGGGTGGGATTAGGGGGAGCTTCTGGACTATCCTGTGCTGCAGCTCAACCCTGAGCTTTCTGTGGTCCCCTTAGTCTGCTCTGCCCCTTCCTGTCTTTACTGACCTGTGAATTGCTCCTCATCCTTTGGGCCAGCTTAAATGTCATCTAACCTCCCACCCCCAAACCTCAGGAATACTCCATGTACTTGGAGCTCATTGGAAGTGTCACCTGCCACATGCCTACTGTGTGTGACACAGTGTTCTAGGCGCCGTGTCCATCGGTGAACACAGGCAGATCCTCCACCTTCCTGGACCTTACATTCTGGGAGGACATAGACAATGGAGATAATGAATGTATTTTTATGATGATAAGCTCCATGAGTTTAGAGGAGCTGAGGAACAGGGTTGGGGATCCTGAGCTTTAAAATCAGGCAGAAAGGTAGGCTTAGGAGAAGTAGACATTGGGGCAAAGACGTGAGAGAGAGCTCAGCCATGCCTACATGTTGGGGGGAGGGGGGCTGTGTGTGAAGACTAAACACGGTGGCATCAAATAAGGAGGAGTTACCAGCATAAATATGGATGCACTATTTTTTGCTTTTAATGCCAACTTTCTAATGAAACGTGACTCGCATCTCAATCATTTTGTACCCTTCAAAGCACTTAGTGTTTGGCACAAAGTCATTGTTCAGCAGATGCATGTTGAATGAATAAATGTGCAGCCTGTCCGCAAACCTCCAAACCAGGGCCAGGGCTGCCCGGGAGTCAGCTCTGATCCTGGAGCGCCCTCTAGTGACCAGATCCTAAGTGCCAGGTCTGGACACCTTGTTTATGTCCTGCAATATTTCCTCCTCTTCTTCACCTCAGGTGACCTTGGGGGCTGTGGCCAACCAAGCTATGGACTTGACTGTCCTCCACGTGCAGGGCACGGTGGCATCTTCTTAGGGAGGCACATAGCCACAGGAGGTGGTCTGTGTCTCGTCCCCTTCACTCTGAATGCTCTCTAGAGGCCTCCCTCTCGGATCCTTCTGGACTGTCTGTGTTACTAGAGCTGCATGTTGAGCTGGAGCTGGCCAGGGGAGGATGCACTTGCTGTGTGTGCCTCAGGGGCTGTAGGGCACAGCATTCACTTTCCAGGTCAGCGTAATGGCCTGTCACTCCATGACAGTTACAGTAGACAGGATCCTGACCACTGGCCACTGTGCAGATTTTGGGATAGCACTGAACTGAGGCTGGATACTATGCAGTCAAATTTGTCCCCCCGATTGTGCCTCCTTTTGAGGATGGCTGGTGGCCCTAGAAAACTCCTCTGGGCTGATGGCCTTCGTTCCCTCAAAGCCAAGGCTGAAGCTGCATCCGTGCTGTTGAGCCTCCCCCCACCTTTTGTCCTTGTCCTCTCCTCGGGCCCCAGTCATGAAACCTGAGAGTCTGTTTCTTTCCTAAGACTTCATTTAGCACGGAGACCAGAATAACTGTGCCCTTGGAGCTTTATTTTTAGGGCCTGTGAGGGGGAACAAGGAGCTCTGAGATGGGCCTGAGTGTGTCTGGGAGTGTCCCTAGGTGAATGGGGACTAGCCACACGGCCTGCAGCTTTGAACTGGTGCCTGG